CCCACTATACAGAGCGAAGTAAGCCAGAAAGATAAAGACCATTACAGTATACTAACACATATATATGGAATTTAGAAAGATGGTAACGATAACCCTATATGCAAAACAGAAAAAGAGACTCAAATGTATAGAACAGATTTGTGGACTCTGGGAGAAGGCAAGGGTGGGATGTTTCAAGAGAACAGCATCGAAACATGTATATTATCTAGCGTGAAACAGATCACCAGCCCAGGTTGGGTGCATGAGACAAGTGCTCGGGCCTGGTGCACTGGGAAGACCCAGAGGGATCGGTTGGAGAGGGTGGTGGGAGGGGGGACCGGGATGGGGAATACATGTAAATCCATGGCTAATTCATTTCAGTGTATGACAAAAACCACTGCAATGATGTAAAGTAATTATCCTCCAACTAATAAAAATAAAAGGAAAAAAAAAAGAAAAAAAAATTTATATTTAAAACACATACAATGATTTAAATAAATTATACAATAAACACAAAATACTTAGTTTTTTAATATAAATCATACATAGAATATAAGCATTTGGAAAGATGCACTAACTATTACTGTTGAAAATTCCACAAATTTCTACCCTTGATAGCATCCTTCACCAACATGACATCATAAGAATATTCTGGGCTTGCTGCATAAAGGTGCCCTCTGTGTAGAGCTGGACAAACTCCAGGTAGTTTATATGCTGTTGTTGGCAGAGTGTATGGATTTATACATCATTCTTTATTTTGACAGTGTGCTGACGTGGAGTTGAGCCAACGTACAGACCTTGTACTGTAGATGTGGCTGCTCTGACCTTTGAGGGGCTAGAACATTCTATGCCACTGTGCTTGTACTTGAGAAACACAGAGATGCAAAAGAGAAAACTGTAGAAGTTATAAGCTTTATTCAGGAATATTTCACAGCAGACTAGAGACTATAATATTTGAGTCTTCTATCTGAGTTATTTGAGGTCAAGTCTGACTTTAGTGAAATTCCAGATGAGATGGAACTCTCAAATAATTTAGCCTTTCCTTTATCTAAAGGGAGATAAAGGAAAAGCTAAATTATTACCATGTAACTACAGTAACATGCAGATTGCTGTTGAATACTGTTTCCCACAAGCAATTCACCTTAACAATGTTGTTAATAAGAACAATATACATTAATTTTTTAATAGATAATATATAAAAAACAGAAGGAGCTTCTTATATGTTTTCACAGGATCCTAGATCACTATTAATAGCCTACAACATGGCTTTTGGTTTTCTCATCTGGAATACTGATTCCATTAATGTAGAAATCTAATCCAGAAAATGGATTTCCTGTAACATAACTCAAAGATGACTACTTAATGACACCTAATACCAATTTACAGATTTACAGTGAAAAACAACTCAATATATATGTTTAAAAAACAGAAAATTCAGGGTGGAACATTATTTTCCTATACTATGATGTGAAGAGCATACTCTGTCAAGATACAAGACAGAAACTGTGCTTTTTACTAAATAAGATACTAAATACAAAACTTCTGGTGAATATAAGGCCTTGGTTAAAAAGAATTGGACAATCCTAATAAATACTGATAAGGTGATCATCCATATATTCTTTTACTATACAAAATTAACTAAGCACCTAAAATGTGGAAGGTACACTGCCTAATGTTAAGAATATACTGGTAAGAAAAAGACTTTTTATGAATCCTTAATGAATATTGGCAGATTATAAAACTCTCTCTCCTTTATACTGCTAATGATTATGGCAAATTCTAAACACCTTAAGATTATCAGCCATAAATTATGATCATATAATAAACACATTGCATATTTTTAACTTTTTATTTGGAAATAATTAGAGATTCACAGGAAGTTTTACAGATAGTAAAGAGATAAGTGTACCAGTAACTCAGTTTTTCCTAATGGTGACATCTTATGTAACTAAAATTGACAAAGTTCTCTCATTGACCAAACTCTAGCCAGGCTCCTCTGAGCCTTCTTTTCCACTAGGCCTCAACCTTGACCCATAGAGACTTGAACAAAAACTAGATTCTAACAGGGAAAGGCTTCATTGCTAGAATGACCAGAGCTTCTCATAAAAAAGTACCTGCCTGAGAAAACTCAAGGTTGCCAAAAGAAATTACTGTTTCTTCCAGTCAACTGTTGAAGTTGGGGCCCCTGTCTCCCAGTCTCTCTGGCAGGATAGGAACCTAACTTTGAAAAGGGCCAGTCAGCAAGCGCAGATGGGTTTCACAGGAACTAACCACCCTCTTCCAGATTTTTGTATTTTTTCACTTTCTTAAGTCTACTAAGCCTCTGCTCATTCTCTTCCATAACTTTTCATCTTTCTTTTAAAGTTCCCAGTTATTTATGATAATAATAAAAGTTGAATTCATGCTGTATTCTTTTCCTACTGCACTAGTAGAATCTGCCTTCACCATCAGTATCTGAATTTGCTTATCTTTGACACAGTCAAAACCAGGAAAATGACATCAGTACAATCCACATAACTTTTTCAGATTTCATCAGTTTTACCTGCACTTGTATGTGTATGTGTGTGCATGCACACACATACTTGTAGTGTGATGTAACTTATACTACACTCAAGATATAGAACTGTTTTTTCACCACAAGATCCCACTTGCTACCTTTTCATAGTTTATACCTTTCATTCACATCTCCTTCCAGCCTATCCCTATAATTTTGTCATTTAAAAAATGTCAAATAAATGCAAGTACACAATGCATATATTTATATATATATATGTGTGTATGTATATATATAATATATATATATATATATATATATATATTTGTGAATAAGGCTTTTTTCTTTCAGCATAAGTCTTTTGAGATTACTCTAAGTTGTTCTGAGTATAAGTAGCTAGTTCTTGTTTATTGTCAAATAGTGCTTCATGATATGGATGCACCCCGGTTTGTTTAACCATTAATCTACAGAAGGCCATTTGGGTTGTTTTTAGTTTGGGGCTATTACAAATAAAGTGTAACATGCAGGTTTTTGTATCAACATAAGTTTGATTTTCTCTGGGATAAAAGGGTAGTAGTGAGGTTGTTGAGTCATATATAAAAAGCATTTTTAGTTTCTGTTGTTGTTTTTTTAAAAACTGCCAAAATATTTTCCAGAGTGGTTGTGCCATTTTACATTTTAACCACCAAAGTATGTGAAATTGTTTCTCTGTATCCTTGATACCATTTGGTGACATACTGCATTTTATTGTACAGTAATCAGTCTTATCTTGGTGAGATAGGTCATATTAACAACACATTACATTATTGGAGTAGTTTTTTATATAAACGATAAATTTAAGGTACTCAAATTTGCAAATGTAGTATATTTAAGTAAAAATGCTATTTTTCACATTTTAATGTGTCGCTGTCCATGCTTATGACATACTTGACAGTACACAGATAAAATCTGCAGAATTGCATTAGAAGGAATAAAGCTGTTTGGAAAGATTACAGTAAAATGTCGTAGCCTCAATAACGGAAGGATACTAAGCTAAGAGCTAATACTAAAGTAAGTTATAAAATTGGTTGGATAGGGAGCATTAGATAATTATTCATCTTTGGCAGTTTACAAATTCCTTAACTAACAGTCAAAGTGTATTAAGTATTCCACAATGCAGTTTCCACCAATGACACTTTTCTCTTTCACTTTGACTTCTGGAAACTGTCAAGTCCAGTTGCTTAAACACTTAATTCAATACTTTGTGTGCTCGATTACTGTGAAATACTAAAGAAAAAGTTACATACTTACATACTTATATAACTTAAGTTATATGTAAGTTATATATAAGTTATAGGCTAATATACAAAAATATATTGGCCTATATTTTTATTAATTTAATGTGGAAGAATAGGTATGTGTACATATCATATGATAGCATATATAAGTGTATACCTATACCTATATGTTTAATGTACATACATTCATATATGCATGTGTGCATTTTTTTCCTTAATAAAAATAGCCGAGATACATTGGGCACTTTTTATGTACTGGGCATTGTTATATAACTTAATATATGTACTCTCATTAACTACCAAACCATCATACAATATAAAGCAAACACTCGGACTTGCTAAGTTCAAACCTAGAGGCTACATTATTATCCACTATATGATAGTCTATTCACTTCAACAGGGAGAGAAAGGGAGGAAAGAAAAAAACAGATTTGAATAAACTAGGCACTAAGTTCAAAGTAGCATTAAAATGAACTATTTGAGTAGCTTTGCAGCTTTGATAGATTAGCTGACATCTCCTCCACCTCTAAACTCACACATACTTTGAATGATTTTCTAAACAGAATCTAAAAGACTATTTCATAGTGTTTCAGGCATTTACACTTGTAGTTCCTATATATTATCTGTCATTATAGATTCTGGTTATTTATAAAAACTTGATGACAAACATCCATTGCCCCAAATTCCTGCTTTGAAGCTTCCTGAATTTGTATGCATAAATCCAGATTATTACATTATATAATTCTTTATTTTTCAGTGAATAGATTCAGCTTTTCCTTATTTGCTTCCACTGACTCTATTGATTATAAATTATATATTTACATTTATTCATCTGTGTGAAAGACAGATATTTTCTTTTAAAATGGCATCTAAGTCAGTCATTATTTCCAGTTATTCCATGTATTACTATTTAAACAAACTAATGTTGGCATATTATATGTGGAAAATAATGTATCTGTTATTTAGAAGGTCATATTTTTATTCCCTAAACTGGGACCATTGGCTTTAATTGAAAAAAGAGTGAGGTTAAGAAATCTCGAGTTTATGTCAAATATCATTCATTAGGTTTTTTTCCCTCAATATTGTGGGAAGTCAATGTAACTAATTTTAAGGCTAAAAAGAAATAGATCAAGAAACATATTGACTATAGTTAATAATCCTGTAGTGTACACTTGAAATTTCCTAAGTAATTTGATCTTCAGTGTTACTTGCTTTGAGTTGGAAAAAGGTTTGCGTTTACACTTGTAAGTTTACTCATCCTTTAATGTCTGCAAGGTTTTTTTAAACACAATTCTCAAGGCTTTAAGAAATGATAACAGATTTCCTACCTTCGCATGAGAACCTTGGGCCAGGCACAGAGGCGGTGGGAGTGGCCGGAAGTTCCGGTCAGGAACCGCGGCGTGCAAGGGAGGCAGACGGGCAGTGAGCTCTGAGGGCTGCAAGGTGTCCTCTGGCCACACCTGGTCTCCATCTGCGGCCGGGTGTGCCGGCGCAGCACGCTTCCCAGCAGGCCCGGGCCTGGCCTCAGGCGTGTCTCTGCTCTGTCTGGGAGCCGACCTGAAGTCCAAGGCGAGGCCGACCGAGGCTGTGGTGGCCATGTCTAAAGGGTCACCAGCAGGCCAGTCCTTGGAAGAGCAGCCCCTGCGGGCCCTTGCCGGCCTGCTGCTCTTCAAGGCTCAGGTCCAGGAAATGGACGTGGTGGTTGGGCAGAAGGAAACTTTCAGACCTCTGTACTGAGACCTCCTGGTCTCACGGCGTAGTAGCTGCCTACCTGGCTTCTCAACTGTGGGGTCTAACAAAGTGATGGACTCTGCTCGGTACTAGCATGTGCCTCAGAGGCCCTCCGGTAGCAGACTGCTACCAGGAACCGTGGCTGCTTTCGGGAGATTCTGGTGGCCTCCGGGAGCTGAGGGGTCACTAGGGGCCTGAGGTGCCTCCAGTTGTCAGCAGGAAGTTGGGCCCAACCACCTCTATGAATCTGGGAGTGACCTCTTCTAACCCTGGAGCCGCCGTCAGGAGGACACCTTGATGGCTGCCTCCTGAGACCCAGAGCAGAGGGATACAGGTGAGTCTGGCCTGGCCGATTTATGTGCGTAAATTGTAAGATTACACATGTCACAGTTGCTGAGCTTTGATGATTTGTTATGCTACAATGGAAGTGAAAATGAAAGTCTTTCAGTCGTGTTCAACTCTGTGATCCCATGGACTATACAGTCCCTGGAATTCTCCAGGCCAGAATACTGGAGTGGGTAGCCTCTCCCTTCTCCAGGGGATTTTCCCAACCCAAGGATCGAATCCAGGTCTCCCACATTGAGGTCGGATTCTTTACCAGCTGAGCCACAGGGGAAGCCCAAGAATACTGGAGTGGGTAGCCTATACCTTCTTCAGTGGATCTTCCCGACCCAGGAATCGAACTGATGTTTCCTGCACTGCAGGCGGATTCTTTACCAACTGAGGTATCAGGGAAGCCCACAATATGTCACGATAGAAAACTTATCTATGTGATTTCAGGCGGAAAACAAAAGGGTAACTTGCTAAAATTCTGTATAGCACATATCTTTAATAACAGATTTCAGTGAAGGAAAACAGGTTTAAAAGAAGTCATGGACACCTTAGTTGCTGTCAAATTACTCTCATATAAGAGAATTCTGGAAAATCAACCTGGGAAAGATGACTCATCTTCAACCCCACTGGAAGAATAAACTGGAAGCAGGTTTTAATAGCTCAATGACTAACCGTTTCTTGCCTTTATAAGGAGTTAGTCTCAGAGGCAAGAGGAATTTCTAAATTTGGAAGTGGCAAGAGCTGCTTGGTAGCCCTTTAGGAAACTTAATAGAAGTTCCCAGGTGGTGCTAGTGGTAAAGAACCCGCCTGCCAATGCAGGAGACAGGAGAGATGTGGGTTTGATCCTTGAGTGAGGGAGATCCCCTGTAATAGGAAATGGCAACCCACTCCTGTATTCTTGCCTGGAGGATCGCATGGACGGAGGAGCCTGGCAGGCTACAGTCCAATAGGGTCGCAAAGGATCCAACAGGACTGAAGCAAAACAAGCAAGCAACTAGTTAAAATCCCCATTGTGACCGAGAAAAAAACAAATGAGCTGTGGCTAGGATAAATGCTTATGCAATTATTATGTCAGGGAGGGATTATGCTAACTAGGGTGGGTGTGCCCAGAAGGTGGGTAGCTTCTGTTCAGTTCATGGCTGGCAGTTGCCACATGGGATTAAATCTGCCTTTAGCTGGGTTTTCCATCTGTTTAGAAGATTTCAGAAGCATGTGTTTGTAAATATCAAATAAAATATATAATTTAAAACATGTTTAAAGTTGTATACCTGGAGACCAGTTGTTTGTAGCTCCTGAAATACCATAAGGTTGCTTTATAAAATAATGATGGTACACCAGAGAATTGACAAGGGAAAGTCAACCACAAGGAAAATCTTCAGTTAGAAAAGGAATGAATCATTTTCCTTATGCTGAGAATAGAAAGTCATGACACAAGTTTGAAGATACTCTACCAGGATGATATAATCACCAAACAAGGAGGGATGATGTCAGATCAATGATTTTGCAGAACTGAGAAAAGTACAAGCTGTCCTATTTTTGAAATTTATATACCAATTGAAATTTTACTGTGTGTGTGTGAAATTCAATCACATTACTGCAGTTTGGGGCTATAAAAGTCATCCTTCTATTTACATTGGAGAAGGGAATATGAATGCACTCCAGTATTCTTGCTTGGAGAATTCCATGGACAAAGGGAGCCTGGTGGGCTACAGTCCACGGGGTCACAAGAGTTGGACACAACTGAGCAACTAACACACATACACATGTATAATTTTGTCCACATTTTTACATGCATGATTTATACATGCCAGGGAGTAAAACAGCTGGTTTTAGAATGTACAAATCATTAACTATAAATCATTAATGTACAAAACATAAATACTACTAAATAATTTTTCATGGTGGATGTACAAATATACAACCCATCAATTCAGCATAAACAGTACCACTATCTCTGTAATTTATTGTCTGTTAGTCTTTGTAATTTTGCTGATTTCTGTTGATGTGATCTATCAGTAGGATTGAAATTGAATTTTCCTGATGACTAATGATTTTGATCACCTTTTTCATGTCTTAAGGCTATTTACATATTCTTTTTGTCAAGTGCCAATATCACATTGCATTAATTGATAATACTGCAGCTTTTCAGATGTCTTTGGTTGTTTGAATTTCCTTATGAACTTCGGAATCCAAAACAAAATTCTGAAATTTTGTTTGAGGATGCATTATATCTATAGAGTAATTTTGGGAAAACTGACATTATAAATATTGAGCATTCTAGTCTATGAACATGGGTAGTGAAAACATATAGGCTTCATTTATTTTCACTATTTTATAGTTTTTTTTTTTTTTAGGTGAATAAACAGTATTCATTAGGTTTATTTTTAGGTATTGAAGTTTTTTGAAGTTATGATAAATGATTTTTTTATTAATTTAATTTTTAAATGTTTTCTAATGGTATTTGAACTACACTTGAATTTTGTATATTGGTATTTAATTTAGCACACTTCAGGAAGTGATTCTAACAGTTTTGGGGGGATATTACTTAAAAATTTTTTGTAGCTAGTCTTGATGTTGTAAAACGGACATTTAATTTTTCCTCTTTAATCTTTGTGATTTCCATTTCTTATTCTTGCTTTATTGAGTTGAATAGGAGTTGGATTTTTAAATAGAAGTTGTGAGAATGGACATTCATGTTTCCTTCTCAATCTTAAGGAAAAAATATTTCACCATTGAATATATTGAATGCTGGCAATTTTTATATGTACCAATAATAATTCTAAATTTTATTAATTTTAGAATTCTAAAATGGCTGCAAGCTTTTTGACCCCTGTTAAGCATACACCTCTTTACAAAATATAACATAGTTTTAGTCTAGTTTGCTAGCAGCTTTTCATTTTAGTTACCTTATATAAAGAGACCCCGTGTCTCATAAACCTTATTAATCCTCTTTGAACCAATGAGCACTTTTTTTTTTCAATTTATTTAAACTAGTAAAGAGAAAAACAAAAACAGTTCACCCATTTCTTCCACCTCCTTTGCTTCTGGCAACCACCAGTCTTTTCTATGAATTCATGAATATGGTTTATTTATTTATTAGATTCTATATAAGAGAGAGATCGTCCAGAATTTGTCTTGTCTGTCTTATTTCACTTAATGTAATCCCCTTGTTGTTGCCAATGGCAGATTTTTATCATTAATGAATATTCAATTTTATCAAATTAGTTTTCCATGTTCATTGAAGTAAATTAGTCTTTTCCCATTTTTCTGTTTCTATGGTGAATTAAGTGACTTGCTCATGTATTCTTTTGGTTGTAACTGCAGTTGGTCATGATACATGTATTATTATTTTTATACATAGATAGATTCAATTTGATAATACATTGGTTAGGACTTTCAACTATGATTATGAGAGAGGGTGCCATTGCCTCTGATTGTTGTCCTTTTGATATCCTAGTAAGATTTTGAAATTGAGAGTTTTCTGACCTTGTAAAATCAAGCAAGAAACAGATGTGTGTGTGTGTGTGTATGTATAAAAACTCTGATTTTATATATATGTGGAATTTGGCAGAGAAGACATCTGGGATTTGATCATTTATAAATATTTTAATTTTATATTTGTATTTTAGTAGGTATGGGACTATTTGGTTTCCCTTTTATTCTGTTTGGCATGTTTTCTAATCTTCTAAAATCTGTGACAGCCATAATTTATGATCAGCTTCTTAGCTCATTATTAGGTATTTTGTGCTGGACTTTCCAGATTCCACTTAAATTTGTCAAGTGATTTGAAAGAATTTCTTTGCCACATTCTCTCTTGAGCTCTAAATGAAAAAAAAAAAATCTGCCTTGTATTAAAAGGGTGTATCCTTTACAGTTTTTTAGTAACAAATTTAGTTAGAATGTGTCTATATTTCTACCCTGTACCCACCTTAGCTTGAACTAATTTTGGCTGATATTAAACTGAGGGAGGAAAGAGTAATTTGTTTTCCCCACCCCAACTTTGGTTTTGTTTTTTAATTCTGTAAGGAGGGTCACTACCTGGCTGTGTCCGACACAGATAAATAATTTTGCAACATAAGCATTCCTGAACTTCCTTACTCAAAAGTTGTTTATTTGTAAGAGCTTTGCTCTCACAGTCAAGGGAACCATAAATTCTAGCCCTGTGTAGTAACAACAGAAGATCAGATAAATGATGAATATATCCTAGTATACTCCAGCATGGATACCTGCCAAGGAATAAGGGTTAGATGTTCACTTTTTATCAGTGCCTTCGCCCTATGGAAGATCCCAGGGTTATATGAAAACTGTAAGGGAGAGTGGTAGGCTAAACAGATTGATGTACTCTCAAATTGATTGAGATTAAAGTTTTACCTACTGACAACGTAAAGATTAAACTGAATTACAGAAAAGATTTTTTAAAGTTATATTTTTGAAGCAGGAATTTGAAATAGAGATTCGTATTCATTCTACCACATACACACACACACTTGATTTTCTTTTTCTTACAGATATTGAATACAGGATTCATGTTATT